GTTAGCTAGGAAAGTCGTCTAGGAAGGCTACAGAAATACGACACAAGCTCATTGTCATATAAGCAATAACGTCATTAAGGATTTATTCCCTATTAATGATAACTGAATCGATTTAATGATTGCATTAACGTATATCAGCGATATACGTCCGTACAATTGGCTTGACTCAATTACATGAAATCGAACTGTTCAAGCTTGATACATGCTCAAAGCCTTTGTCATTTATCCCCGATTACTTGATTGTCTTTATCAGATTCTGGTTAAGATAATTTACTGATACACGAATAATATCATATCGTAGCATTGGTTAGTTAATTGATTAATCAATTTCCTATGTTAGTATGTATCTGCATATTAAACTTCTACTTATCTGGGTACAGAATAACTTGAGAGCTATAGTTTGTTATGGAGTTATAGTTCACTGCCATTGTAATACTTTTACGATAGTTATAACTAATAAACCCTTGTTAAATATGCTAATGAAGTGACATGATACTTATGTTATGAAGTGGTTTGACGTCACCGCATACTTGTGGCTACTTGTGGTATACGTTGGTCGGCCTCTATTGTGTCTAGACGAGATTATTACCTACGAAATACATTAATTAACCAGCACTGGAATCGATGTAATGGTGAAATTTAAATTCAATTACTCATATATATTTATAAAGCTATATGTAATCACAAACAAAATCGCATTAAATCAAACAAAAAGTTCAAACCCAACTATGACATGACATAAATTTATAATATTATATTATGCAAATAGTTTTAATGCATATGCATATTGAACACAGGTGTCTGGTGTTTATCCAACTGATTTAATAACTGGGCTCATCGCGAATCGAATCATAGGATTGTATGCTGAATATCAATGATTTGCACAGCATTAGAGACATAGACAGTTGGTAAACAAGTATCGTACAGATCCAAGCTCATACTATTGTTACAGTTACCTTATAAAGATGCAAAAATAAATTCGATAATACACTTAAGATTAAGTTAGTTCTTTATTTAAAATAAACGACCTTATCTTAGAGTAAGAACATATAAAAACGTCTGTAATGTTTGTCTAAAGGGTGTTTAACAATAGTGTGGGACTCTCAGTTAAATAGGAAAACATAAACTTGAAAATATACGTGTCATTTCCCGCCCTATCTAGTTCCGTGTTTTCGCGACATCAGAACTGATAAGGGAAGGGTGAATGCACGAACGACTCCAGGTACTACATAGTGATGGGACTTAGTCGATGATTTATCTGATGTATTAAAATTCAACTCGCGATACTGATTTCAATATTATTCTTTTGTGCAATTTATTTTCTTGTCAGTTGTAGTCGAACTTCAAAGAGTCGAAATTATGTTTGTTTTAATTAAGAAATTCAATTTCATGCATTGCCTTTTAGAATAGTTAAAGTCACCTTTTTAATTAAAGCACAAATTTCTCACTTTCTTAACATTAATTGTAAACCTAGAGTGTGTGTAAATTTAGTATAACAATCTTATTTAATTATTTTATCTTTGATTTACATTATATCTAATTCCGAAGGAATAAAACATAAAGGTTGTTTATATATATTAATGTAATATTTATGTAATGAAGACTCATTTTAATTTGATATAATAATATGGAATCACTAGTAGGGGAGAGTGATGAAGCCTCCACCGGCATACCAACGTGATTAATGGATGCCAGCGGTAATGATAACGACCTGCGACTGAATCATCGGAATCAATGCTGAACACTGGAGTCCACTTTGAATGTGATGAGGTTTTACATTCATATGATTTATCTACAAGAGATAACTACTGAAACACACATTACAAGACAATATTTCGTTTAAATAATGCGTAATAACTTATATGATATTGTGCAGCTCATCAGTGGGAAATTCCTTTTATTTTGACTATCCTTTCCATGAAACTCAGTAGTCAAAACACTGGATACTGTAACAGAATAAGCCTCACTAAATAAACCGTCACTATGTATATTACGTAAATCGTTTTATCATTTCCGCCAGTTGCTTACGTACAATCCATTATCGCAAATCCGTCTGAACGCTCACGCGCTGAAAAAAAAAAACAAATCAAAATGCACATTCTTTTGTGACTATGCAATTATCTGCGTGGGCTTTCCACCACACTATTGTTAGAGCTCTTTTTTAATTCTGTTCGTAAATAGTCATCAGAACGACCAACACAAAATATAGAAAGTCAAAAAAATCATCTACCAAAATAATTTTATTATCATCACATCCATATTTATCAGGTGATATAAGTAATATTACGAACAAAAGGTTCGATAAAATCAATACAACGGTCCATTTTCCATAAGTCAGGGAGGTAGGATAATCCGTAAGTAAATCATTGGCGATGAATACGCGTTGGAATGATAACGATTAAATATGGCGTTAGCTCACACCGAAACTACGAAGCTGCTAAATGTGAATTCATTCCACGGAACACGCTAACTGCATTTTATATGCGAGTTTTGGATTGAAATATCTAGAAAGACATTCAATATGTACTGATGAATATTTTAGATTATTCTTTTCATTGAACACAAAGTTAATGTACTCAGTTATTATGTTATAATGACCATAATTGTTGAATCATTACAAAAGTTTTCGAACCGATGTCACAGTATCCATCAGTGGACTGTCGTATGAAAAGATAATTACGGTTTATTATATATGAAATTCATGGAAAAACTTCCGTCATTACACTTTTGAATACACATATCAATGACAATTGAATAATTCCCATTTACAACCCCGCTCAATATCTAAACACGATTAACAGAAAATAAATGTCTTATTGATAAATCGTCCGTGCTAACTGCTTAATAGCGTGTAACTAATGATGGTTTCTGTATTGGACGTTGATGCACTTGTTTTCAAGACTGCACTCACATTAACTCAAATGTCAATACAAAAACATTTTTTATTCCATTGATTCAAATACATATGTTTCTTATTAGTTATAAACTAAAATATATTTGCTTATGAATTTAATATCAGTATTTTGACGTATTTATGATTAATAAACAAAGCTAATAAGTTTCTATTTCCATCAACCATATAGATCACATATTCAAACATTATCGATTTCTCATTTAAATATTATCAAAAATAAACTTTGGTTTTATTAATGATGAAAAGTTATCATGTTCAAAGCTAACTAAAAACCGTGATTAAAAGTAGTACAACTTTCAAACTTAAATACCCATTTTGGTTAGTAAATTGTCTGTAATGGATAAGTTTTCGTATTAGCTACATTGCCTGCGTTTATGAGTTCTTTGCATGCAACTGTTGGCTATTATAGTTTTATTGGTATTGTTTTTTAAAACCTTAAAAGTATATTAAAAAAATGTCATAAAGAACCCAATTTTGATTAGAAATCCTGCATGAACTAGAAGTTTTGACCAATATATATATGTGCTTCCTGATATTAGAGATAGTTTGCATTTATGTTTCAAAAACAAGCAACCATTATGTAATGAAATACTTTAGATGGAACCTGTAGACACCACTAATTATATTTTTTTAAGAAATTACTGAATTAAAAATATACTTACCTAGAAAATGACTCTTTATCAGACCTGTAACAAAAATTTTACGTTTTTAATTAAATGTGACGTGAAAAAAAAAATACAAAACAATGAAGGTTTTTTTATAACTATGTTATTTATCGTAAATAAAAATTATTTCACACCTTTTTTAATAATAATATAAATCTGATATCCATTTAAAAAATCAATGATCAAGAAGGTAAAAACTCCTGCGAAAATTAATTCACAGTTTTCATTATTTATTCAAGAAGCGAGTAAATAAAGCAAAAATACCCCAGTGAGATATAAGACTTGATATATAAAGCCGTTTATAAATTTAATATATTATTAAAACGTGAAGCTGATAACTCCAAATATTATGATTTATTTCGTGAGCTATATAATAAACACAAATTAATTAAATACGATTATGAATTGACTAAGAACGATCACAAACATCAAATTATATTTTAGACTAAACAAACATCGGTGAATTTGTTTATGATCGGACGGAATCACTTAATTAAAATATTACCAGTATCTAATATCCAGAGGGTAGTGCAAATATAGGCGGTACAGCCAGTACAGGGCATCTATCGGATGGTACCGTTGTGTAGATAAATTAAATTGCATCCCGCACATTTTGATAATCGCCAAATAATCGACAACGAGCCTAAAGCTTACCGGCCTTAGGGATAAGCGAGTTAATAGAACTAATATTATTAACAAGGTACAAGTTAACAGGTTGGATTGATTTGTGTTGGGTTGAGAACAGTTCGATCAACTTATTTGTAATATGTTAGTTATAATTAAACTTTTATATAAAGATATTGTACAACAATGTTATGGATAAACATAACATTAAAATATATTTACGTTTCAGTATAGTTTAAAATCTATCTAAGTATTCAGAAGAACCATTTTGCTTTTAAACGTTTATTTGTCATTTAGATACACAAAGAACAAACCACTTTATTCTTATTTTTTCTCTAAAAGTCCTTCTTAATATCTTAAGTAATATAAAGAACAATATCTCCGATTTTGACTATTGATTGTCTTTTTAATTTAATAAAGTCTATCGCTAAAACCTAAATACATATCTTAAAGGTTTAGGTTATACATATTTTTATATAATAAGTAATAAGTGAATATTATCAGAATAGATATGCAAAACTTTGAGACTTTCTATCACGATAAACATTTCCATAAATTAATTTGATAGCTAGCTTTTAAATATAACACGTATACACATATTATTCACATTATGAATAAAATAATAAATTACTGTAATTGTATACCTCCTTTAGGAACGAGAACAATATGAAGATCGATTAAATCAAACCGGTTCCCTTCAAACAAAGCTGCCAAACACTACAAATAAAGAAAAGAGCAAAACCCCTTAAGTAAATCATCGTATCGCTAACATCGAGCGCGAATCGATATACAACCCCTTATCTCGGGGACGCGCACGTGTGAACTGGTTCAATTTTAATTTCATGCTCAAACAATGAGACTATCGAGCCAGCTATTATTTTGTATCGCGGAGGGTTGGGTTCATCTAAATCCAACTGATAAGCCCCGAGCTCTTTGTAGCAGTCTATCCTGATGGCTAATTCGACAACGTACAGATACTCTCGGGCCTCAATGGCCATTTTTAATTCGTCATTAAAATATATTGTTTATAGGAAGGTACTTTATCGAGCTCCCTTGTTACGTTTATCTATACCCGGCTTTCACATGTTTAATTAAATCGTCTGCTGTTTGTGTAGTGACTTAATAATTTTCACTTGGGATAGACCTTTCAATTTATATTCAAATAGGCTTCACGTGAAAAGAAGCCGATGATCTTGTGCATATGTTAACAAACTGTATGAATGAATTTAAAAAAAATACTACACTATCCTTAATCTATAGAGATACTATGTTTTAATGTAAGTATATATCGTATATATATATCTATGATATGATATAATGCTTATATCATATTTAATTTCTGTAATTGAAAATAAACATTTCAATAACAAACTCAACAATCTATTAGCTGAATTATTAAAATTTAAAGAGAGGGTCAGTCAGAGGCGTAAGTGTTTTGTTAAACACAGACCCCATGGGGCCGGTCAAAGCATTGATTTATGCCTATATCATAAAACAGATAGCCTGTTTTAATTAGTATAGAATTATATTATGAAAAAAGATAATTTTAATAATACTAGATTTAAAATGATAGCGAGATCGTATTATTGCGATTTATTACACGAAATAACGAACTAAGATCTCTCTCGTGCACACCTAAATCATGTTTGATTTCAATTAACTGTTCAGACACCGGATAGATGAATAGATCCCGGTGCCGTTCTGCTAAAAATGCGAAAATATTGCACTCCCGCTTAAAAATGAAACGTATTTAAACTAGCATTTAATTTTGCACTGTAAGTTGCAAGTGAGATTAAATTGCTAATATAATTTTTCCAGATTTAAAAAGTACTTAAGCTCCTTTACATCGAAATATTTATATTTAAAATGACAAATTCGTATCACTTATGTTGCTTCGTATAATTCTTTTCCATTTGCATCTTTGTGATAACTTCCAAACTTGGTCCCAAATAATTCCAAGATAAAAGTTTATTAAGCAGAAATTGAATTCTAAAGAAGGCGAGATTGTATTTAGCATATTTTGATGGATACTTTACTTCCATAATTACTTAATTAATGTCTTATGAAAATTGACTATTCAAAAATATTGCTACATCAATACAGTTTAATTTTTATCACAAATAAAAATAATAAACAAATAAACATGATTCCAAAGCCATATTGTTGTTGAGGGTTTTTAATATTTTTGCATTAGAAGATTATTATTTAGACATCACTGACATACGGTGAAGGAAAACACCGTGAGGAAACCTGGACTTATAGTTTCACAATTATAAGTTTGAAATCACCAACCCGTCTTGAGCAAGCGTGGTGATTAATGCTCAAACCTTCTCCATGTGAGAAAGAGGCCTTGCTCAGCAGTGGGCGCTGATAGGCTGATGACGACGGCGACGATTTAATATTATTGACGGAATTCTTTCCATATATAAAACGTACTTTTGGCGGAATTACTTCAATCGATGTTTCAATATTTGAACGTAATTGAATTGTCATTATATTTAAGATACACTTTCTTAAATTTAAAATCTTCAAAAACTGTGAAAAATGTAACGCAATGTTACTTTTTTATTATTATAATCCAATTTCTTATTACATGGTAAGAATTTTTAAATAATAAATAAGTATGTCATCAGTTAGCGAAATATAATTTAAATATATAAAAATGCTAAAGTGATTAACTGAATTAAACTTGAAATAAAGAGAAACGTTCAAAAACCTAATGTTAATATTATCCGGCAATGTATATGATTTTTTCATCAACATTCGGTACGTTGTAATGGGGCAACTTCTAATAAGAAAACTTGTAATGGACCGTTTGAAGTCGAATCTGGGGAATGATACCCGACTAATGTACTCAAAGTGTCGAGACCCTAATAATAATCATCGAACTTTCCATGTGTTTAACATGTTTGTAAGTCTTGACTTTCTTCCCACATTTCTATCACGAATTGTAGTGTTTCACCTACACTTCATCACTTACCTTATTTAAGGTATGTATTTAGTATTTAGAGCTATGCTTTTAATTGTTCTATATAACTCATATATATATGTATTATAAATATGAAAATTAGCATACGAAAATTCGCAAATCGATTTGATCGAAATTTCGAATGTCTTCAGTACCAGTGTAATGCTTAATATTTTGACTCCAAATACCCTGACTGGATGGAAAACAAATCAAGTAAAACAATTTTAGAAATACGTCCTATTAACCGAAAATAAGCCCCTTCGTGTTTCATACTTTAATTGAAATAATTTTGCATGAACAACAAAATAAAACCCGCTTATGCAAATACATAACCGTAGCATTGCAACACAGTTATCAGTCCAAGCCACTGATGTAAATTCTTGTTTGCATTATCTCAATTAAGTCTACGTTTTGTTAGCTTTTAGCCCGAAAACAGCACTTTGAAAATTTTGTTTGTTCCGTAATGAACAACAACCGAACATAACGTTTACGTTGTACTAAATCAATGAATACAATTTGACACTGATGAGCTTCCAGTTTAATTAATTTTATATCTGTGGCATAATTATTAATTTATAATCCCGTGATATTCAATTGGGTGGTTTAAATAAATGCGACCGTAAACAACTATTTACTTGCCCATATGTGATGGTTTAAATACGTAATTACATGGAAGCGATTGTTTGGTTTATGACTTCATATTGAATATAATGTAATGTTTAATAAATATATATTTCTATTTTATATAAAATGGAAATGAATCGGTACGGGAAAGTGTTAATTGAAATCAAACAGAGATTAGCCGTCACTGCGGTTGAGTCTCGGAGCATCGAATTCAATCCGGCTCCGACTGAGACTTTATTTGTTTTTTATTTTATTTTTTATAGAACAAAAAATATCTCGATCTTTCATGGTTTAAGCATTTAAAAAATTAAGACGATCTCACAATTTGTCAGTTGTAGATATAATACAGAAGACCTAACCTTATGCAATGATAAAAAATAAAAGTATTTTAAAATACTTTGTGATTTTAAGTAAATCGTAAGCTGTGATTAGGTTTCAATACATAGTATAATTAATTTTTATACATGGTTAAATACAGAGATTAAATTTAAATAGATTAGTTAGCGGTCTCTTGCAACCGGTCACAGAGTAAAGAATTTCGTTTGATACTCGATAATGCACTTAAAAAGTTTTATCTCTCCTTTTTCTTTCAACTTCATCGCATTATATGTTTTTAATTTAACTAGAATAAAATCCTTAAGATCAGGCAGAATAAAAAATAAGGACATAGAATTATATTATATGTATAATCATATTTAAACATAAAATATATATCAATCATTTATTAAAATAGACTCGACTTTTGCTCTTAAATGTCTTTGACGGGTGACTTTATGAGTTTGAACTTAATCTCAATCTCCCATCTTATTATACATATTCGGAAAGTTACTAGTTATTCTAAAAGTTTATAATGTTACTGAAATAATTTTCGTCTAGAGATATTATAAATTTTCATCTTATTAGTACTATATCCATAACTCAGAAATGCTTGAGGTTAGGCTATGAAAAGTTGTTGGCGTCGTTAAATCTTAGAAATCAGCGAATATTATAAAGGATATTTGAAAATCTAATTCTGTCTAGAATAAATTTATCGTTTAAAAATATTTTATAAAAGGCCGAAAATAAATTTCTGTTCCAAACCCATTGTGTATTTGATAAACTTAATATTTAAATTGTGAGTGAGTTAGTTGATGGCTATGTTTTTTCTTATTATACAATACATGTATTTTAAACGACTTGTTTCGTTTTACGTTCTAAGGCCCTTTACGATTCTTTAGACTCGTATTAAAATGCGATATGACTGCTTGCTCCCAGTCAGTGAGAGCTATAAAAGTGGAATTAGATGCTTCGTTTTATAATTGTCTTAAAAATTAATCAACACCAAAAGCTTACGTCTATCTTTACGAGCTGCATCTGAATTTATTACGTAGTCGTAACTCAAATAAGTGAATTCTCTATAATGTTGGAAAACTTAGGAACCTCTGGAAATGGCTGAAACCGAACAATGGTTCTTTGACAATGCCGGTCACGTTTCGTCGCCTTAAAAATACGACGCTTAAGTCCATAAAGTACTCCGTAGTGTTATTCTTTTTTAGCAGTTCCTTTGAATGGCACAATATTATAATATTAGATTTTTCGGACTAGACATTCGTTACAAACTTGTTTGATTACTTCATTTTCCAATATTCATAGATTTTATTTTTTCAATTCCCATTTTTATAGAAATAGTCCCAAGAGCATACAGTTCAGTTGATGGATTATGTTTGCAGGCAGTCATCTGTAAATATCCCAAAACGTTTAAAGTTGCCAAGGATATTATTTCATTTTCTGTAGTAACCAGTTGCACGGGCTGATAGCAAATAGTGACAACGATCTATGGGTGCTTACAACAACAAAGACAAGCTATTAGTGATACTCGTACCATACTCGTTGATCATGCCACTATTTAAGACCGCAGCCTTTCGAGGTAGTTTTATTTACACGGCGACAAAGTGCTGGAATAACCTGCCGCCACCTTTTCGAAACCTAAAAACAACAAATGTATTTAGAAACAAATTTAAAATGCATTTAATGAATTTACAAACTCAGTCTTAATTAAACATATTATACATTATGTGTGCCGTGCGTTGGTCGTGTGTAAATTCTTACCTTATTAATGTGGCCACTATATGAATAACACAATAATGTCGCTCACAAAACCATTTTATGATGATATTAAGAAATATTATTTTGTAACTTACCCACTGTAGCTTTTATGTCTTAGGTATATTTATTCTAGTTTCCAATAATATTCTTTGTTAGGTTATTTGTTCTTAGCTATTATACACATTTTTATTTTTTATTATTATTATTTTTTTCTCACTACCTGCGACGTGGCGTGCGTAGGTACTGGCAGCCACAGAATACCAGCGTTGAAAGTCATGATAATGATTTTCAACATAAGCTGAGTGGCCTACCAATTTAGGC